TCAAAGAAGCTCAATTTTCAGTAATGTGAGCCTAAAGATGTATAAAATAGATTTATATTAAATTATGTTAATAGAAGCCTAGTAAATGCACCATTTAATTGCATGGAAAAAAATGTTCCCTTTTAAGAGGTCTGTCACCCTAACAGGTACATTCAAAGATATGCTGTGAATAATGAAAACAGGAACAATTGCTTTGATGCACTGAGCTGCATTCAGTGTCTAGGGCAGCTTTAGGCTGTGTTTGGAGAGGGTGGGAGGAGCTCCTTTTAAAGCAGTGATTGCTCCTTTAATTCCAATTTCCTCTAGCAAACAGGTTCTATTGGAAATAAAGTTCTCCTCCGCTCTCTCACACTCTCAGGCCCCTTGTGAATTCTATCCAGAGCTCTCTCCAGTTTCCCTCCTTGTTCAGCTTTTTTTTCCTTCACTCTCCAGGCCAACTCTGAGCACCCTTCCCACCTCAAAGAAATCTCCTAAGGAGTGCCATGAAAATTAAGGGGAACTTGCAGGAAGGTAGAGGGTAGAGGTGGGAAGCACAACAAAACAAAAATCTGGTGACACTAACTACTCTGTCCACATACATGACCACCACAAATGGAGTTCTCTCCCCCTCACCTCCCCACCCACTCCATGCATGCCCATGCACACACATACACACACAGACCCTGTTGCCCCTCTGAGACACTTTTAGTCACCACAATCACCTTTCTGGAAGTACTCTGACCACAGTCAAGGTGAAACAAGCCAACTGCATTTTTTCTTATCCTGCTTAGATAAAATTGGGCAGAATTGGTGGGGAATAGGGGTGAGGGGAAGGAGGAGAAAGCCAGAAATCAAAGATTTCACATCCCCAAGTTTTTGTTTCTCCTACAATATCCTTGGATATCTTTGAGGGATTGGGGAGCGGGGGGTGGCACTAAGCTATGATGACCATTTCAAAATAAGGGGAGGGGTCCTACCATCATCAGTGTATCTATTATCTGGGCCCATGGACAGCCCAGGCATGGGCTGCTGGGTCCTTCCTACCCTGGGAAGTTTGCAGTCAAGAAGCCTTGCTGAGTGCTACTTTCTGTGTTAGGCCCTTGGCCTTGGGCTTGGGACTGGTTGCTGAGTAGGAGGGGAAAGGGGAAAGGTCTTTGCTGCTCTTCTGGGCTTGCTCAGAATGTCTGGACTGGGTCAGAGCACAAGGGCAGGAGGTCATCCTCCTGCTTTCTGTTCCCTCATCAGGCTATTTTCTGAGTGCCATGAAAATTAAGGGGAACTTGCAGGAAGGTAGAGGGTAGAGGTGGGAAGCACAACAAAACAAAAATCTGGTGACACTAACTACTCTGTCCACATACATGACCACCACAAATGGAGTTCTCTCCCCCTCACCTCCCCACCCACTCCATGCATGCCCATGCACACACATACACACACAGACCCTGTTGCCCCTCTGAGACACTTTTAGTCACCACAATCACCTTTCTGGAAGTACTCTGACCACAGTCAAGGTGAAACAAGCCAACTGCATTTTTTCTTATCCTGCTTAGATAAAATTGGGCAGAATTGGTGGGGAATAGGGGTGAGGGGAAGGAGGAGAAAGCCAGAAATCAAAGATTTCACATCCCCAAGTTTTTGTTTCTCCTACAATATCCTTGGATATCTTTGAGGGATTGGGGAGCGGGGGGTGGCACTAAGCTATGATGACCATTTCAAAATAAGGGGAGGGGTCCTACCATCATCAGTGTATCTATTATCTGGGCCCATGGACAGCCCAGGCATGGGCTGCTGGGTCCTTCCTACCCTGGGAAGTTTGCAGTCAAGAAGCCTTGCTGAGTGCTACTTTCTGTGTTAGGCCCTTGGCCTTGGGCTTGGGACTGGTTGCTGAGTAGGAGGGGAAAGGGGAAAGGTCTTTGCTGCTCTTCTGGGCTTGCTCAGAATGTCTGGACTGGGTCAGAGCACAAGGGCAGGAGGTCATCCTCCTGCTTTCTGTTCCCTCATCAGGCTATTTTCCTGTTTAAAGTCACCACAGGATTTGCTCTCAAAGAGGTGGGTTCAACCCCACTAATGGCTACTGCTGCTCACTTCTTTTCTCTTAGTGGTGCAAGATCCTAATTTGTAATTTGTATTTTCATTCTCTTTCTCTCGATTATGTGTTTATAGGTAATAAGAAGCAATGTGGTGGGGGAACAGAGTTCCGTGTTCAAGGGAGGCATATTGAAAAGCTAGCATCTAGTGCTTCCCAGGTAGAAAAATTGTCAAAGGGGATCCCACACATCTTAAACATTCCCATTTAATAAATCTGAGGACACTTCACTTGGAGTGTTAGATATCAAGATTATTTAGCAGAGTATTTGTGTGTTCGAGTATTGGCTTAGTTAGTTGTTCTTAACCTAAGGTGAAACTTCAACCTTTCAAAGCAGATTCCCAAAGCCATACTCTGATTTGCAAACTCCAAAAAAATCAAGTGATTACTGGGGGTGTGGTGGGGGGTAGGGATGTGGAGAGAAATAAAAATCTACCCCAGTAGACAAGGAAACCTCATGTCCCCCTCTGAAGGTGACAAGAAGGTCCACGGGCACTGAATGTCTTAAAACTAGAAGAATCTCCCTGGGAGCCCTGGAATAGTTTTCTCTGGAGAAATTCCAATGTCTAGATAAGTATCTTTGTCCAAATCCTGTGCCTCTGGTAGGGAATCCATTGTTTATTCTTTCTACTGTAAGCTATCTCCTGGAAGACAGTAAGGAGAGGGGCCAAGACTATCCAAGCAGCCCAAACCAAGCAAAGACATGGTGGGCACCATGTCTCCTCCAGGTGATGCAGCTGGACCTGTCACACAGCAAGGAGTGTGGCAAGTGGGTGGCAGAGGCACAGGGCGGCACTGAGCATGGACCCAGAGAGGGCCAGGCCCAACTACCTGCAACAGAGGTGCTGGGTGGGCTATCCCACCTCCCAGCTGAGGCTTCACTTTGGCCAGAGGCTCTGTCCTTATTATTCCCTGAAAAGGGATTCTCCTCCTTAAAAGCCCAGTTCTTTGTGCTTCGGAACTCTCTCCCACCCCTATACTCATGCCAGGAGAGGCCTGTTTGTTGGAAAGGAGGGACACAGGATCTTCAGGAAAGCCAGCTAGGGCAGGCTCCTCTTTTCCATCACAGCCTGTGGGGCAAAGGGCTGAGGCTCTGCATGTGACAGAGAGATTCAGGGACTGAGCCTCCCAGGCCTAAGCTGGAGCCTGCCACATGCCTGTGACCGCTGCACAGCACCAAGCCCAGGACTCTGCACAAAGCCGGGACAGCTCCCTATTCAGTGCAGCACAGTGCAGTCCCTGCCCCCTCCTGCCGACCCGCCGGTACCCTAATGGGAATTCACCATGGGCCTTGGGAGTGCGAAATGAGCCAGAGAGAGAAAGGGGGGAAGGACAGACAGACAGAGAGAGAGAGAGTTCTTGGGCAGGGGAAAGGATGGTCCTATCCCTCCTTTCCCCTCCTTCCTAAAATAGCTTCCTGATCTCAGTTTTAGAGCCCCACCTGGTGAGGCTGCAGTTCCTTCAGACCTCAAGGCATGTGTGTTGTAAGCAATTCCTGTGGCTTGAACCTCTTGTGTGGCATCTTTGCAGAAAATAATCAGAAATAACACCAGTGGGTGTTACTGGGACTAAGCTTGCAGGGATTGAGATCTCCTAGTTTCCATGTTTCTAGCTTCATTTCTCTCCCTGAGGTGACAGGCCCTGGCGACCTTGAGAAGCCGGGCCAGGCTGCCCTGCTGAGGTCAGAACCAGAGTAAGTCATCTGCAGGACCCAGCTTCAGGAATCACTCTGCAAAGTGATAGGAAGAGAGGAACTAGAAGAGGGCCGATTCAGGTCCAAGTTAGGGAAACCAGAAAACAACAGCCAAGAGCCCAAAGGCACCTCTGAGCTATTTTTGAGAAGTGAGGCTGTTAACTCTTTAGACAGAATATTTCTCTGTCCTTTTGTTTTCTTGGCATTGATGGAAGCCAGCCACTTTCTCAGCTAGACAAATAACCGGGAACACATGTTTCTAGTCATGGCAGCATCATTTGTAAGTTTCCATGTGTTTGCTTCCACCCCTTTGGATGGATGTTTGCATTTCCTAAAACTGTTCTGACTATTCAAATTCCTCCAAATTCAGGTTTTAGAACTGAGAGTTGAGGAAGAGAAAAAAATTAAAGTAGGGTTGGGGGGTGGCTGCCATAGAAAATAAAAACTAGCTAAGGACTTTTACCACTCCCTGCTAAATAAATTAAAAGATTTTCCTGTTGTTGTCAGTGTCACTCTTAGTGGAGTGACTTGCCCTGTCATCTTGAGGGTTATTTTGAGATTGGGGCGTACTGCTTGGTAGGCAGCATCATGATTGAGAGTGTCTTTTTGGCAGAAGTTTCTGTTGCACAGAAATCCTGTAGAGACACAAACTTCCTCAACCAAGAGACTCACTCACATTACCAAGTTTTAGTCAACACTTTCCTCTAAATTCTTACTTTTCCCCCCTATCCATGCTTTCCTCTAGAAGTGGGGAAGATGGAGACAGGGGAAGGTGGCAAGCCCAAACACCATGAATTTAAAACCTTGATTTTGTTTCATTTATTTAAATAAATATAAATATAAATTTTATATAAAACTATTCACATAAAAGGGACTTCCAGCGACTTGGATTTTAAATTCTCCCCAAATTTTCAGAAATCAAGACCTACAGGGCTTAATTTTCTAAATTATTTGCAATTCAATGCTTTCCTTTAGAAAAAGAACAGAAAAGAAACCCCGTGTTCTTATCAGGTTCTGAAAGACAGGAGGAAAGGGGAAATGACAGGCGCTTTCAAAAACCCCCATACAGTATTAAACCAACCCTGTTTCTTCTGTTATGACAAGTCTGAGTTGAATCTAGATTATGTACATTTCTTAAAAACGATCTATAACTGCAAGTGGAGCTCCAAACAAGTAGGTCGAGAAGTAGACGTGAAGCGTCAGTCCCAGCTCCCAGACGCTCCCAGGAATGCTAGTCTAGGTCCTTATCCAGATGGGGGCCGTGAAACTCGCAAGGGTTTTGGCCCCGGGTGCCCACCGCGTTGGCGTTGTGGAGTCTGGCGGGAGCTTACGGTGAGAGGTGGGTGGCCGTCTCTCATAAGGGAGAAATCTCCTTGTCCTCGTTGGGCGAGGCAGGCGACAAGGAGTCCTCATCCTCTGAGCGCGCATAGTGCGCCTGGCTGCCGACGCACTTGCAGCTCGTGTGACTGTTCCTCTGCGTGCCCTTCCCTTCTTTTTTATGCTTCACCCGGCGGTTCTGAAACCAGATTTTCACCTGTTTCTCCGACAGGTTCAAGTACGTGGCGATTTCGATCCTCCGGAGTCGAGACAGGTACATGTTGGAAGAGAATTCCCGCTCCAGCTCCAGCAGCTGCGTGCTGGTGAACGCAGTCCTCATCCTCTTGCCATTGGGTACCTGGTTGGTGTCCGAGCCCCCTGCAGATGGGCCAAGAGAAGGTAGAGAGGTAATTCTCAGGTGACGCGCCCCCACCTCCAGTGCACCTTCCAAGGACCTGCGTGAGAGGCTCAACCAAACACCCGTAACTGCACCAAACCCTTTGGCATTTCAGGGCACATCATTATTAAGCCGGAAAAGACAACAGATGCCCAAAGTGAGTGAAGGCCTTTGATGTGCAGGACGTAAAGTCCGAGGATTAAAAGAGGGGTGGGATCTTGTCTTTTTCAGGTCGTTTCCCTTCAAGCCTAAAGAGAAGGCAGGCAGCTTAGCCAAAAGTATTAAAGTAGTTTAGCGAGCCTCGACCCTGCAATGCCAAGCTTAAGTTCAAACACACCCACCCCAGACCTCAGCCTTTCAAATTCTAGCCTCAGCCTTCAAGTTCGAGATCCCAAAGGCCCCCATATTACGTAAGACTCAGGCACCAGGTACCAGGAGTGAAGCGCGCCAGGCTGCTTGGAGAGGTTGGCAAGCTAATTTTCACCTTCCTGGAATGTCTGGGGACAATTCCACAGTTACATAAAAGCCCTTCCTTATTCCCCACCCTGCCCCCGGCTCCCTCTTCCTCCACAGGAGACGTAAAGTTTACTCTCGCAACCGGGAAGGCGAGGCACACAGGTGCCCAGGGAACCCGCCCTACCCATAGTGAGACAGTGGAATCTCCGCGGGTCTGCCACGTTGTAGGTGGTGGCGGTGCAGACAGGTGCGTGGTGCTGCGGGTGCCCCAAGGCCGCCGCGGCCGCCGCAGCCGCAGCCGCAGCCGCTGCTGCAGCGGCCGAGCCGGGCTGCGGGGGCTGATGGTGGTGATGGTGGTGCTGTGGCGGGTGATGGTGATGGTGCGCATGGCTCACGCGCGGGCAAAACTGAGCGTCGCCAGAACCCGAAGAGAACTGACTCTTGAGCAGGGGCAGGGCCCCGGCTGCCCCCGCCGCCCCGCCGGCCCCGACCCCCGCACTGCCCGCGCCTGGGCTTCCGCTGCCGGAGCCGGCAGGCCCGCGCGAGGAGTGCAGGTGCGAAGTGACGCAGAGCGGGCAAACGCAGAACGCGCCGCTTTTGCGGGACGGGCAGCCTGGCCCGGACACGGACATCACCAACGGAGACGGCATGCCCAGCGGGATGAAGAAGTCTGGCCCGGGGTGAGGCTCAGGCAGCGAGGGCGCGGGCCGTGAAGAGTCCTTGATGATGAGCGAGTCGACATAGAAGGAGCGCGACATGTCGGGAATGGTGGGTCTCTGGAGGGCCCGGCCGGCCGTGGCACCCCTTCCCCTCTCCTGTTCTGAGCTCTGTCCCGGGCACGACGCGGATGCGGGCAGTCAAGTCCTTGGGGACGTGGAGGTGCCGGCGTCTGGGCTGCGAACAAAGGGGTCCCTGGAGAGGGTTGGTCCTCACGTCCCCCGCCCGGCGCCCCGGCTCCAGGATTTTATAGCCCCCACTCTGGCACGTGATGCTGCGGAGTACCGCTCGGCTCTGGCTCCTCGGCAGCTCCCCACCCTCGGGATAGGCTGCCGGAGTCACAACAGAAGCGGCGAGGAGGGGCGGGAGCACGGCAGGGAAGAACTCGGAGAAGGGGGATGGGGAAGACTTTGCGAAGTGTAGGTTTTGTTAATTTAGCGGGGAGGCCGGCCTCCTCCCCATTTCTCCACGCTTCTTTCTCGAGAAATCACAGAGTTGCATCCTCCATCTCACCCCTCTCCCTAGCCTGGGCCCCAGCCCAACTCTTCCCTGCGCCCGGCTGCAAAGCGCACCAGGTGGGGAACTATGAGGCATTTTTAACAGCGATGCTCAATGCTCCCTGCTCCTCTGTGCCAACTATGGCCGAGCTGCGGTCAAGTATGAGGCCGGCGGTTTAGAGCAGTGTAGTGCAGGCTGCGGCCGGCCTCGTAACGTTCCGGAGCGCGGTTTGAGCCCTACGCGCGCGCGCACGCACACACACACACACGCAAAACTGTCCTCCAGCTTTTTAACTTGGCCAAGGTCATTAAGGTGGTTAGTTCATGACCTACTCCGAGCACCGTGAGACCTCCCAGCTAAAAAGCTGCGGAGCAATTCATTCTCCTGCTTGAGAGGCTCTAAAATGTCTTTGTACTTGGGTCTTTCCTGGGGCCACTCGTATTAACGACCTTTCCTTGGGTCCCTTTCTAGTCGGCAGCTCTCACTTGGGAAAAGAGAGACATTGAAGAGGCACTCTTTCCGTTCTCCCTACATTTCCAAACCAACCCTACAACCTCCATCCCAAGGATTTTGGAGAGAGGACCCAAGTTTCCTGGAGACTGGGCAGGGGATGAGGGAGGCTTTTGCCTGGGATGCCTCCATCTCTTGCCCCTTTGTATTTTGCAGATCTTGGGCAGCTGGCCGGCTATCCACAAAGCACTCTCCCCTCCACATCTCTTTAAAAGCTCAGAAAGGTTGAAGGCAATTGAGCCATTTGAAGAATCTTGCTACTCAAGGGTCAGGAGAAATGGCTTGGTAAGGGAAATTTCTAGGAGTGGCACAGGATTCGGTGGAGAACTTGTACACCAGTGGCTAAGTGAGAAAGGGGGGCTGCCAAAATAGGGGCAATTGATCTTTCGGGAAGGCATGGCAGCTAAGGGAAAGCTTTCTCTTCTTTCCCCCAGTAGAAAACCTGGCTGGAGTAGGGAGTATGAAAATAGCTACAAGTCTGACCCTTTTTCCAAAACAGCTAACTTCAGGTCTGAGTTCACAAGGGTGCTAGGAAACTTGGGGATAGGACTCCCGCCACCTGTGAGAACCAAGTGCCCGTATCCTAGGGGAGCAGCAGCTTCTTGGTTTGAGGCATGACTGTCTCTCTCTCCTCTGTGTCTCATTTCCCCTTTCCATTTCCATGACCGTCTCTCTCGCCTACTAGAGAAGTGTAATTGGGTTGTAGGGACGCCCCGCTCTGGGGAACCCAGGATTTATGGATGGCAATTAAAGTTTTATGAATTGCAGCTGAGGCTGGTTATTGAGCTATTTGAATGTGATTAGAATTCAATTAGAAAGCGGTTAGTGGACGGTGGGTCTCCCGAGTGTAAACAGACAGCTATTCCAGAAATGTGCTAATCCAACATCTTGTGACAACAATTAAGGAGTCTCAGGGCTGAACTCGGGGCGGCTCAGCTGTAACTACTTTTGTGGCACACTGTTTGCCAGTGTTCAGATGCCTTGGCCCAACCCGCCCGGCCCAGCCCACCCTCGCTCTTGTCAGGAGAATCCAGGCAGTCCGCAGAGTCACTCCAGCTCCAGAAAGAAGACTGGGAGCTAAAATATTGAGAGATGCTTAATGTCAGGGTGTTCTTACCAGGTCTAAATTGTCCAAATAGATGACATGATTTTCCCATTCGCTTTGCAAGTATATCTATATTTTTCATTTTAGAAAATTGATACAATACATATTTTATGTATTTATCCACTCTGCAAGCATACACACACACACACACACACACATACACACACACGCCTCTTTGTGAGTAATAGTTTTCTCTCTCCTTTTTTTCTCTCTGGGTGAGGTAAAGGGCTCTCCAAGATTTGTTTTTGGCTGATAGTTTGGGTCACGATGTTCCCAATGTTTCCAGTCATGCTCTCGGGGAAGAACTCCTATGCTAATGAGCTGGAAGATGCCCTTTTGTGAGGAGGCAGGGCCATTTTATTTTAGAGAATCTCAGTTACAAAGCTTGAGCATCTATTTCAATTTCTGTCTGACACTGGAATCATCCAGTTGGAGTGCTAAGGAATTTTGAGGAAAGTGAGAGGCACCTGTGGTTGCTTAGGGCTGCAAGAGGAGCAGTGGCAAGGGAAAGCAGACCACTTCCGAGAAACTTGCCCGTTAGGGGACTTGGTTAATTGCTTGAGCTCGCCGAAGGCAGTCATGTTCCACACTGGAGTCTCTCTTCTCAGACTCTTCTCTTTAGTTCTCTTTGCAACTCTCAGCCCCATTTTGAGAATCCAGCTCCACTGTACCTTGGCACCCACCTCCCCAAAGGAAGCCTCACCTCCACGGCCCTGAGCAGCATTGCCAGACCCTTCCCCAGGACAACTGACCCTCAAATACACTCAGAGAAGAAGGGGATCCTTAGCAGACTGTCAGCGTGCACCCATGATTCCCCCACTGCTGCACAATTTTATTTCTCAGTGATTCTGTCCGATAAAATTTCATCGTCCATTAAGAAATCCCTGAAACGAGAGCTCTTATGAGCCTATAATGAGCTCTAATTGCCACAACTCAGGGAGACACTGTGGAAGGATTTATTCGGTATTAAGCAGCCAGGCACACAGTACAGGCTGTTACCTAAGTTTCTTTCATAATTCAAGGAGAAAATTAGTATTTTTAAGAGGGGGGGGGCATCCTTTGATTTCCTCCCATTTGCTCAGGATGAGAGAAGATGGCTTGTCTTCGTTGAGTACAAAACAATGTCACAAATGAGAAGGTAACAAAATTGTCCCCCTCCATTCTCCACCCACACTGGGTCAGGATACCCCACTTTACCCTCAACTGAGGAAAAGAAAATCAAAGTAGAGTCTCCACCTTCTTGCCTCTGGACTCTCTAATTTGAGCCTGGAGGAGCAGTTTCCTCCCAGTTGAAACTTGACATTTGAATTCTTGGTTGTAGCTTTGATTCTTGAACGTCTTCCAGTACTTTCCCCCCAATCTGGGATTACACCTGACCTGAGCCACATTCCCCTCTTCTTTCTCTCTTCCAATTTCTTGGGCAAATCAGGAAAAACAAAGGGTATGGACTTAGTGTTCCTTATTCATCCTAGGCCCTAGAGTTCTGACCCACGGATGTGCTTAGCCATTTTTTGGCTCTAACTCCCACTTTGTTCCTCCCTCTGCACCCCCGCCCCCAAGACTACCCCCCACCTTTGCTAGTCCTTTTTTCTCTCAGTTTCAGCGTTTGCCCACATGGTTCTCCAGCTCCAAACAGAGGCAGAGAACAGGGCGGGACAGCCCAGGAGTTGGCGGGGCTGCCTCGGATTTATTTGCTCCTCTTACATTGATTTCATATTAGTTTCCAAAGCAATGAATGATCTCAAAGCTGGGTTTTGTTAGCTGAACACAAACAGAAGACAGGACTTACTTGCCCCCAGCTCCCTTTAATGAGGTCATTATCAAAGCGTGAACAAGTCTATGAATGTTTTATTGAAAGCGCATCGTTAACTTGTATCCATCCTTTTCTCCAAGTGGCATTGTGATATTGCTGTCTGTGGCACATCTTACCCGATATAGCCCGAGATTTCCCCATTCTCTGTAACCAGGCAACCCTTTCTGAATACCCAAAAATTGAAAAGAACCGCTTAGTCTTCAAGAAAGTCCTCAATAATAGTGGAAAAGAACAAAGATCCAGGAGACAACAAAATGCCACAGGGGTGACTTTTCATGAGCAATTATCTCTCATTAATCAGAAGAACAGCTGCAATATTAATTTTCTCTCTTTCTTCCTCTCTTTTCACAGTCCCCAACATTTGAATAATCATAAATTTGGATTTTATGAAGGAGACACATTTTCAGGGGCTGGAGGAAAGCAGCTACCTAGCTGAAGATGAGGAGAAAACGCTCTTGTTTTATTTTTTTGTTTGGGTAAATCTGCCAATAAAGCAAAATGAAAAAATGAAAATAAGAGGGAAACACTAGAGAAAATAGTCCTGCTCCCCCCTCTTCTATATGGTGGCTGAGAATCAGGACACTTTTCCCATACCCTTTCTTACCAACTCCTCTCCCTCCTCCCTCACCCCAGACCCATTCCCCAGCTCTGCGCAGAGCAGGGTGGAGTGAATTGTCTCTGGCGTAGGAGTTTCAGCCGGGTTTCTTCCCGTTTCACTTGCAAACGTGAAGCCAAGCGTTGTCAATCTGAGCAAAGAGACACTCTTTGGGCGTAACTTGCTTTGTAGCCATCAAAAGCCCGCCGGCCTTGGATGAACTGAGATGCACATTAAGCAGAAATGGGGTGCTTGCTCTCCTTTCAGGAACCGGAGGACGATTGTTTACAGGATGTATAGCCAGGGTGGAAAATGAGGGTCCCAGATAAGGCTGTAACCAGCAAGCCTGCTTGGGGGAGTTAAAAGAATCATTAAAGCCAAAACTGCAATTAGCAAATACTCGTAGAGAACCCAAGCCCCTCTTGAAAAGCCAGGAGATGGGTGGAAAGAGGAACAGTTGGGAGTCAGCCCCCACATTCCTATGCTGGCTGAGCAATGAGAGGCCTGGGCACCCGGCTGTCCCTTCAGCTGCCCCAATACTGTTACTTTTAATGCAAGGTCGCGCTGCAGAGAGGACAGGCTGAGACTTGTGCTCATCCACCACCCAAACATGACC